CCGCACCAGGGGGATGCTCCGGGATGCTGCCGCGCCCTGGGGATGCTTTGGGATGCTGCTGTGCCCCGAGGATGCTCTGGGATGCTGCTGCGGCCGGGGGATGCTGCTACGCCCCGGGGATGCTCCAGGATGCTGCTGCGGCCGGGGGATGCTGCTACGCCCCGGGGATGCTCCAGGATGCTGCTGCACCCGTGGAATGCTCAGGGATGCTCCGGGATGCTGCCACGCCTGGGGCTCACCGCCACCCCTGGCAGGACCCTCGGCTGGTGCCACCCGTGGCCTTGGTTTTCTGCTTGCCCGTTGCTTGTCCTTTCCTAGGGCCCAGTTCCCTTTCTAACTTGGGCTGTTAGGGAAGAGAGAGGTTAAGCCTCTCCTCGGATGTGCTCTGTGGCCCGAGCAGGTGAGTCACAGATGGGAGGTACCAGCATTAATCTTTTCAGTGTCACTGCAAAGGTCAGGAAAGGTATTATGAAACCATCCCTCTCCCCAGTGTTTGCTGCACGTCGTCACTGGCACGCATAAGCCTGCGTGTATATAGTTCTCTTAATTCCCAAAGTTTGCATTTTTCACAATGCAATGACAGAGAGTAATTTACCTTTTTACTGATGCATAGGCCCGCTTTAAACTGAGGAAGACATGATAAATAGAGTAGGGTGGTGTAAAAGACAGCCACAGAAAAATGTTCTCCTGAAAGACCTCACACCTTCTTTTCTGGGGGAGATAAATGTTGTGTGGATAAAGTGCTTATTACAAGCTCTTAAGGAGACTTACATAGCAGTGAAATAGGAATTCATATTTTATCTGTGTGCGGATCTCCGGGCTGTCCCCACGTTCCCCTGCCGAAAGGCCCCTCTCACCGGGGCACGGCTCGTGGTGCCATCCTTGTGCCCTGTCCCGGGGCTGGCTGTGGGGACCTCAACCCTTGTCCCCGTGGGGGAGCGAAAGGCCCCGCTGTGGAGGAGCAGAGCGGCAGGAGTGGCAAAGAAAAATGAAAATCCACAAAAGATCTGAGCTAGAAATGGAAGCGCTGGCTTGCTGTGCCGTACCCAGAAAAGCTCCGCAGTCAGAAATAGATGTTCTTCTGCCTAATGAAAGGGCCAAGAATGGAAACTCCAGGTGCACGCCTGCCTTTAACCCGCGGCACTGCAGCTTCAAACATGACAAGCGTGGCTGTGTGATACCTGTTCTGCAGAGTATCACCTGCACCCTTCCCAGGGACTGAGGTGTGGTAACAGCGAGAAAAATCAGGCACAATGTGTTTCTGGGACACAAAGCCAGGCAGAGGCACTGCTGCCAGACAGACAGGAGGAAGTTCATCCCAGTAAAAAAGAAGGGAAAGTCCATCCGGATGCAGAGCTGTTATCCCTGGATGCAGGTAGCTTCCTGCAAGGATCAGCATAAGAAGTGTGAGCAAGGTTTTGCATCTTTTTGCAGCCTGTGTGACGCCGGGGCTCTTCCAGCTCCAAAATCTTTGGGGCTCCACCTGTTTGCTCTGAAGCGGAGTGCTGCTGCTCTCCCCTTTCCCTGGAAAGCCAAAGCAGCGTGTGAGCTGTGGGTGGTTTCTAGGTCATTCACTGCTGCCGCTGCCAGAGACAGTGTGCTGTGCTGCCTGCTCCCGCCGCTCTTTCCTGGAGCAACTCGGATGGCCCTTGGCCAGTGCCACCCAGAGCGGTGATCCGCAGGGAAAGGGCTGCAAGTGCCCGAACAATCCCTTCTCGGGTTATCTGCTGCCCACGTGCTTGCAGAGCTGATGGAGGATATTACTTACGTAACCCACAGTGTTTGTTTAAAAAGAGGCAAAGCCAGGGAAAATAGTTACTAAGCAAGGCCGGGTGCCCATGATTACAGCCTCCTGGGGCTGGGGACCACCATGCTGCTACATCAAACTCTCCTCCTGCGCCCACAGAACTACCCTTTTTATGGGCCCCAACCAGGAAAGGCTGGGCGCTTGTGCAGGAGGGTGCTCGGCTGTACATCGGTAGGCTGTACATCGATACGTAGGCTGTACATCAATATGTAGGCTGTACATCGATTCGTAGGCTGCTCATCACTGCCTATCCCTGAGCCTCTGCGTTTGTGCGGTGCTTAGCACAGTGGAGTCCTGGGCTGGGGTGGGAGGTGACAGCAGCGCAAAGGACAGCCCGTCCAGCTGCTGCTTGTGCAGGCTGCAGCTCACCATGCAGATGGAAACTGCTGGCAGGTCTTTTTTTGAACAGGTCATCGTCCCCTCTGCTCTGCAGAAATGTGTCTGCTGACTGCGCCAAGCAGTGTTTGGCAGCCAGAGCCACCGGTGTGTGACTGACAAAGTCAGGTTATCTCCTCGGCGTTTGATTTGCAGCCAGCGTTGCTGCCAAGCTGGGTCGGGTGCCAAGCCGGAAAATGCCACTCAAGGCATTTTCTTAATTGCTCGTCATAAACAGCAAGTGGAAGCAGGCTCTGCTCTTGCGCTGCTCTGGTATCTTCCTGCCCCAGGGCCCTGCAGGTCAGGAGCTTCGCAGCCGGTGCTGGTGCCGGTGTGGTTCAGCCCTGCTGATCCTGTTCCTGCCGGCCGCTCTCCTTCCTCTGGGCGGTGGGTGGGAGCGGGGGGGTCCTCGCTGGGCGCACTCTGCACGTGTGTAGCCTTCACAATGGAAAGATGCTGCTGATTTCCTCCGCTCATGCGCCCTAATTCCCTCATCCAACAAGTGGGGGGGGCTCTAGAAATCAGTCTATACGTTTTTCTTCGCCTGGTGCAGCTCCTTCCCCTCTGCAGCAAAGGCAGCTCGCTCCTGCCGCTGGCACCCACGCCAGCTGCTGCTCCCGCATCATCACGTTTCTGTTTGCTCTGTGGCATCCCTGGCAGAACCCAGGCAGCCCGCAGCCGGTTTGAAACGCGGCGATGCCATCGCTCTGGCTGGTCTTCTGGTTCAGCGGGGATTCGGGCAGCGACTGGTGGGAAAGGAGAGAGGGAGGAGGAGTTCAGGCTGCAGCGAGCGGTGCCGCAGAGCGACTCGTGCTGAAAGATCTCCTCATGTAAAATTCATCTGCAGAAATCAGCTCTGCCACTTCAGGTGGTGGGAAGTAGGCTGCTCGTTTCTGCTCACAGCAGTCGTAGGCAACAGGATGTTGAGGTTCTGCTTTTGCTTCAGCCTCTTGGTTTTTGGCTAAGCTGTCTTAAGTGTCACTTAGTCCCTTCTTGCTCAGTGTCCTCTACGCAGCAGCAGGGAGGTTTGCAGGGCTCCTTGTCCCCTGGTGATGGGGAGGGCAGCGTTGTGCTGCGGCCGGGGTGTTATCCCAGGGTCCAGACACGTTGGCTGCTTCTGCCCCTGACCTGTGGTGGGAAGTGGCAGCACTTTTGCTTTGCCTGAGCCAGAGGTACCTTTGGGGAAGTTTGGAAGCGTTGTGTAAGGGGGTAAGAGATTTTCTTTGACCGAGGCCGGACAGTAAAATCGTGCAGCAATGATGCATATATTTAATAAGGACACCAACAGATGGAAGCTTGGAAGAAAGGATCCCTGTAGGGAGGTTATTTGAGATCCTCCGCAGTGAGCAATGAGCCCTTTGAAGTACCTGCTGGAGGCCGGTGTTAGAGGTAGCCAGACCAGATGGATGGGTCTGGTCTGACCCAGAGGCCTCTCTGCCCATGCGAAGGCATTTCTCGCACTCGGAGCCGGCTGATGATTCACAGGAAAGCATCGGGCTGCGGTCTCGGCCTGCCACGTGAGCGCTTCGTGTCGTTACTGAGGGCCAATAGCACTTCTTCGCACTGGGCCGGGCAGGTTTTGCAGCGGGACGGTTGTCTGCCCTTTCCCAAGTCATCCCTGGGATCTGCCGCCGGTAGCGGGGTGAGCCAGCCCGGGGCTGCGGGGAGCTGCGAGCTCTGCGGCAGCAACTGCCCAGAGCCGGTAACGCCGCTCCCTGTAACAGATCGGCGGCCAAAGCCCCGGACATTCCTCATAGCGCTTTGGACGCTGCGTGGCATCAGTAATGTTACGCTCCTCTCTCTAGCAAGCATGTGGGAGGTAATAAATTTGGGAGTGGGAGCCCTCGTTAGGGGGAAGATTCCCAAGGGAGGCCAGCCTGGCAGTGTTTATTTCTGCGGGGACTGCTGGCTGTTATTTTTAAACAACAATAGTTTAATAAATAAATGAACTTGCTGCCACGGAAGGATATAGCATCAGCCAGGGCTGTTGAAGTCGGCATTTCCTTGGAAAATGGAAGGGGCAGGTGTTTCCCTGCCCCTGACCCCGCGGGCAGCCCCCCTGCCCTGGGAGCAAGGCTGCCGGGGGGGGACAGGACACTGCTCACCCTGGGGGGCAGCTCCCCGTGAGCGTGGGGTGTTCAGCGTGGAAGGAATCCGCCGGCTGTGGTAGAGCACAGGTGCAGCCCCGATAATAAATCGGGGGGGGCGATCTGGTTTCACAGCC